CCTTGTTTTCCCTTTTTTTTTTTTTTTTTTTTTTTTTAATGTGATGAACTGGGTAAGTAAACGTCCTCATTGAATGTCTCATCACTGTTCTTGCATTTATTAAATTAGGATGATTAATAGCCAGTTCAGCTTGCTCCAGTATATTACGTGAATTACTGCTTAACTGAACTGGCTGTTTCATTAACTTTTGACCTCCAAAGCACAGATTACATTGTCTTCTCTGAACTTGAAGGTTCAACTTATTCGAAATTGCACAGTTGTTTTTTTTTTCTCTCTCTCTCTCTATTTACATCAGCCACACTTTATTTCCTGAAAAGTCTGAAATGTGCAGTTTTTAAGATGCAATTTTGTACTATAAATCACTTTCCTCATTTCCCAGCAAAAGGTGTCAACTCATATTCTTGTTACCATGTAAGAGACATCATGTCTTGTTAGCAAAAAAACACTTACAACCTTTGAGATTTGAATTAAAATGACTGCTACTTCATTCGGGGTGGAAAAAAGTATTATAATAAAAAAAATATGTATTATTAAATAAAAAAAAACTTTATATATTGTATATTATAATTTATATATATATATATATATATATATATATATATATATAATGAAATCTCACTTTGGTCAGACGCTTTGCAAAACTTACAATAGAACGGCGCACATAACAGTGTTGTATTTTCTCATAACAGTTATAGATTCTAAATCATTTATGGACATTGATTCGTTGTTACAGGGGTGGAGATGTGAGATTTCCAGCACGGCTGCCTTGTCTCTCTGAAGGAGAGCTGCTCGGAAGAGAACTAAGGCGCTGCTGCCCGCATAAATGAATATGAATATTCCACACCTCTATATAATCAGCCAGCAAGAGGCACTGATTGTCCTCCTCCAAGCACCCGGGTGAATTTTAAACAGCAGTTTTAAGCTGGATGACTCACCTGGGAGAGAAAATCTCAACACATTACCTGGAAAAAGCCATCACGCTATCACTCAAGTCTTCCTGGTGGGAGATCCGGATCTATGCCCTCTTTCTGTAGCGCACTCCCGAGAGCTTAAGAGCCAATCAGATGGACAGATGTGGATGTAAAACTAACCCCTGTTTAACCCTCTCCGGGGTTAAACTATAGCAGTCAAGCCTTTGCTCTTTCCTGTAGGTCACAGCCCAGTCAATAAAATTACATTATCTTCAGGACAGACATTGTCTGCATGTTTATGGCATGTCACCCGTGAATGCACCAGACGGTGAGCTCATGAATATCATAGAGTGTCTGTACATATGATTTTGTGTGCTATCGTTCTCCCTCCCACACGAGTTTCCTGTGTGGCCTTGAGGAGTTTCACCCCGCCGGGAAATCTGACAGAGCTGTATATTCCCATTTCTGAGATGATGGCAGCATTGCTCATTGTATTGGCAGCTGTCAATGTCAATATGCAGCAACAGGCCGAGCCAGTGTTTTCACACAGTATTCTAATCTAATTATGATGCTTTATTTTCTGTGTGTATCTTGTCACAAAGCAGAGCAGAGGACGTTTTGGAAACAGCGACAGTATGTGTCCTCTACGATATCGGAAAGCACTCAGAAACTGCTGAAACGGTTGTAGATAAAATGAGGGTACTGTTTAAAGGGATAGTTCACCCAAAAATTAAATTGTATGTTATTGTTATGTTTCTGTATGTTACTCACCATTGTCATCATTTCTATATTCTGTTAAGATGTTTTTTTTTTTCTGTTGAAGTAATATTTTCACAATTGAAAAGTCATAAAGTTTAAAGTGTTAGAGTTAATATAAAACAGTTCAGAGGGCAGAATTCAGTAAGGAGACAGCTGTAGGGAAAAAGCTGTTCCTGAGTCTGCTGGTCCTTGTCCGGAGGCTCCTGAAGTGCCTCCCGGAGGGCTGGAGGTTAAACAGTCTATGGTCAGGGTGAAAGGAGTCCTTAAGAATGCTGCGAGCTCGACGTAGACAGCGTTTTCTCTGGATGTCCTCAATAGCAGGAAGTGGTGTCCCTGTGATGTGTTGGGCGGCTTTCACCACCCTCTGCAGTGCCTTGCGGTCAGCAACTGAGCAATTCCCATACTAGACTGTGATACAACTGGTCAGGATGTTCTTGATTGCACACTGTTAGAAGTTCACCAGGATGGCTGAAAACAACTGGTTCTTCTTTGGTGTCCTAAGGAAGAAGAGGCGCTGGTGAGCCTTCTTGACCAGGCTGGAGGTGTTTGTGGTCCAGGACAGGTCCTCCGAGATGTGGGTTCCCAGGAACTTAAAGCTGGAGACACGTTCGACAACTGTCCTGTTAATGTGGATGGGGTCATGCATGCTTCCTTTCTTCTTCCTGAAGTCCACAATAAGCTCCTTTGTCTTACTGGTGTTAAGGAGTAGGTTTTTGTCAGCACACCATGCGGCCAGGTGCTGTACCTCCTCCCTGTAGGCAGTCTCATCGTTGTCTCTGATGAGGCCAATCACCGTGGTGTCATCTGCAAACTTGATGATGGAGTTGGATCCATGCACAGGCCTGCAGTCGTGGGTGTAGAGGGAGTAGAGGAATGGGTTCAGCACATAGCCCTGTGGTACGCTGGTGTTGAATGTGATGGTGGTGGAGCAGGTGTGGCCTGACCTAACATGCTGAGGTCTGTTGGTCAGAAATTCCATAATCCAGTTGCAGAGGGAGGTGTTAATGCCCAGGTCTCCAAGTTTAGTGGTCAGCTTGGAGGGAATGACAGTGTTAAATGCTGAGCTGAAGTTAACAAACAACATCCGCACATATGTGTTGTTATTGTCCAAGTGTGTGCGTACCGAGTGCAGCACTGTGCTTACTGCATCCTCTGTGCTCCTATTGCTACGGTAGGCAAATTGGTGTGGGTCCAGTGTGAGTGGGAGGCAGTTCTTGAGGTGTGCTAGGACCAGTCGCTCAAAGCTCTTCATAACAATAGATGTGAGTGCTACGGGGCGGTAGTCATTCAGGCACATCAGGGAGGAGTGTTTCGGCACTGGCACAATGGATGTGGACTTAAAGCATGTTGGCACAGTTGCTTGGGTGAGGGACAGGTTGAAAATGTCTGTGAAGACCCCAGCGAGCTGCTCTGCACATGCCCTAAGCACACGTCCAGGAATTCCGTCGGGGCCAGCAGCCTTGCGTGCGTTGATCCGGCTCAATGCAGTGTAGACATCTGTGGAGGTGAGTTTGAGGGGTTGGTGGTCTGCTGAGAGTGTGATCTTGGTGGCCGTCTCCTTGCTGTCACTGTTGAAGCGAGCATAAAAGTCATTTAGCTTGTTAAGGAAGGAGACGTCTGTGACCGTTGGGGTGGAGTTGCTTGGCTTGTAGTCACTGATGACCTGGATGCCTTGCCACATGCGTCGGGGGTCAGAGTTGGAAAAGTGTTCCTCTACCTTTAGCTTGTAACAGAGGAGGTATAGATATCAATGTCCATGTGAGAGCCACAGGCAGCCTGAGAAGCAAACATACTCCAGTCCATGTATTGAAACCTGTCCTGAAGTAAAGAGTCTGCTCCCGTTGGCCACATTTTGATGGTCCTCACTGATGGCTTCACACAGTTGATGAGGGGTGAATACTTAGCGGTGAGAAACAAAGAAAGGTGATCAGACTGTCCCAGGTGGGGGAGGGGGGTCGCGATGTAAGCTCCATCAATGTTTGTGTAAACATGATCCAAAGTTTTGTCTCCTCTAGTGTGGCAAGAAACATGCTGATGGAATTTGGGGAGCACTGCCTTTAAGTTGGACACGACAATAAATGCAGCCTCCGGGTGAGCAGTCTGTTGTTTACTAATGGCCACATGCAGTTCGTTCATAGCAAGCTTGGCATTAGCATCTGGTGGAATATAGGCTGCAGTTATAATGGTGGAAGTGAACTCCCGTGGCAGATATAAAGGTTTACACTTAACTAGGGCTGGGCGATTTTACCAAAAAATGTTATCTCTATTTTTCTAGAATGTTTGACCGATTCTCGATTTTTTACGATTTTTAACTAGTCAACTTGAAAATGTAACTACAACATGATTCAAGTTACTTTTTCTTTATTAAACCTCTAGTTAAAGAAAATTATATTCTAAGTGCAGCACACATGAAGTTGTCAACATGATGTAAACGTTAAACAAATCACTTGTTAAATATCTTTACAGAAAAGATGCATAAACTGCAAGTACAGTTGAAGAACAGTTCAACCCAAATATTCAGATGTGTGCAGCACATTTTATGGAGGACTGTTTCCTGATCCTGGGAGAGTAGACTACAATACCAGCTGTTCTGACTCACATACTGTAAGTAACGTTACGTTTTCATATTTAAAGGATTTGCCACTGACGTATCAAACGCGAGTTTTGAGCAGTGTAGATTAGCGCTTGTTGTTTGCCATTTCTCCGATCACAAATGCAGACAAGGTTTTATGTTTACGCGGCGCGATGCAACGCGTAAAAAGACAGTATAAGTCATTATAATCCGTAATTATGTCCCCACTGGATGCAACAAATGCCTCGTTTATAATGGGTTTTAATGTTTTTGTCTCGTCGCTCCGGCCGGACAGGGCATCACAGTATGG